TTTTTTTGCTTTGTTCTGTTTTGTTTTCTTGGTGTGCAGATGGCAACTGAATCAAAACAAATTTCAGTTTCAATTCGATCAGAAAAAAACATTTAATAGATTTGGTTGGTTCGATGGTGCATGTGGAATCATACTGAAAGAAATCAAATCATTCGCCATCCACATCACCGTCGTTGTTGTGATGAAGATAAAAACAACAACAAAATAGAAGTGTAAAGCATACATTGTAATGCGTTACTTTATGTGCAGCAGTATAAGCTAAGGAAAGGGTATATACAGTTAGAGTGATAGAATTTGGAAAATAAATGGAAAAATGCCTTAAAGTAAGAAATCAGGGGAAATATATCAATAAAAATTGGCTCATGACCCACATGTTTGACTATGATAATGCGTTGGACTCAATTCCATTCCATTTTTAATCTTCAAAAAAGTGTTTGATGTGTCTATTTTCCTCATTTATGACATTTTTATAAAAAGACTCTGTCCATAAAAAGTGTTTTTCTTAATTCTTTTTGGGGAAGTGGGGGTAGAACTGCCTCAAGGTTCTGTTGGGTCCACTTCAAGAAGAATAATACTATAAAAATTATATTTTACACCTTTAGAAAATCAGAACCTTTAAATTCTTTTGTAAATGTTTACATTCATACTCATAATTTCCTTCTCTCCTTTTTGAATACCCATTCATAAAATGTTCCACTTTGCCACCATATAAACAATACGATAAACATTCCCTATGAGCTAACCTCCGATAACCAGTAAATTGTAAGGAATTTTTTCAATCAAATCACACAAACAATATAAATAGTAAAAACCCCTGACAAACAAATCGAAGAAAACCAAGAAGCAACACCAAGCAGATCACCAAACCATTGGTCTAAAATTCTGTTTTTTTTTTCCTTCGTAAAAATACAAAATGAGGCGACATTGATTGACACAATCGAACGTAAAATTTGCCGCCAATAATGAATCAAAAATAGTTCGAACTGCCGTAAATCAAATCAAAATCAGAACCAACCAAAGTGACCTAGCGACGACGACGACAACGACGTTCATCAACATGCCACCCCACCGACACATACATGCACACAAACATACTCGCTTATTTCATCAAATGCTGAGGCATCGCATATCGAACGTCTGGTGGCAATGATTTGACTGACGATCATGCCAAATTAAGACAATAAAATTAAATTGTATTTCATTTTTCGATTTTTTATTTATTCTTTGAAGTGAAAAAATATATCTAAAAATATTTTGGAAAATTTTGTAGTGAAAAAAAATAGGAAATTAAAAATGGTCGAGCTAAATAAGAAAAACAAATATCAGTGTTGTTCAATTCGACCGGGCTAGACTTTTTACACCCTTTATCATGAGCATTTAACTACCTAAAATCGGTCGGTAGCTTCATATGAGGATTATTTCATTGTAAATTTCTGCAAAAAAGTTGTAAATTCGACTGCAGTAGAATATGCTTCTAACATGAGGGCTATGTCAAAACGTGGACCTATATTGAAGACATTTTTCAACCTCCAAGAACAAGGAATACCAAAATTACACCCAGTTTTTATTACAAAATGGAGGGAAAGGGGAATATTCCTAAAAATTCATAGATCTGCCATATTTTTTGTGTAATTGTAATAAAACCGTGCAAATAAATCTCCAACACTTTATCTATGCCAAAGTATGGATCTATATCCATTATTTTCTGTAAATTAGTTTTTTAACCTCAAATAACCCGGAATGAAAATTCGGTGGAAAATACGGATAAAGCCTACAGGAAATGAAGCGGGACCTTTTTATGGGGGTCAAACATGTTGCTACAGACAGTAGCAAGACGTAATGCGATGGAGAATTATCGGGAGAAAAGGGGAGAGAAGAAACGTATTCCCAGATATCTTCTTCACCGCTACTATTTGGTACCATAAGCTTTACAAAATGCTCCTTACACATCCTCAACACGCTATCTGTCACCAGGTTTCCATCTTAATCTCTGCTGGAGGAGGTGCCTACACCAAAGCCTTCGGTTTGGTGTTTTACTCGTTGGTAAAATTTTCGGACTTCATGCTGACTCCAGTCCCACAGTCCCTCTTATCATTTTTTCACTTTTTTTTCCTCATTCACACATTTTTATGGCTCATTTCAGATATTCATCATAATGATAACCTGGCGAAGAAAATACAAACTATTTTCATTGTTGTTGTCTTCGCTACAACAATGTGACTATGCTACAATACCGCGTGTGAATTTGTAGCATTTAGAATACATCTGTACTAAAACAGTGTAGTAAGATTTTCGAAAACGTTCACATTTTATCGAATTCAACAATCTTTCCAAACTATATGAACCACCATGTAATATGAAAGCTATACCAAAACATGGACCAAATAGACTATCCATTTGCATAACCACACATCCTAGGAGTAATAGCAATCTGTGTTCTACATTTTTTTTACTCTATCTTAAATATTGTGATCTGTAACTTGATTTCCACCTATAGGCATGGCTGAATGACCCCATCTTATAATTTAATGAAGGTTTGGGCAAATATTACGATTTGCAATGTTTAGATAACATCAGACATTCCATTTTCTTAATATCGGATTAATAAGTTTTCAAAATGTTGACACTTTGTTGGAGAGGAAACAGAAGGAGTGGACCGATGGTTCCATCTTTGCATTTGATCTAGGCTTTGTCAGACAAAGAAACCTTGTTAACAACATACACAGCAATAGGCCGGTCTGTGGTAAACTATGCGGCTCTAACGTTAGTGCAACGCTATAGAAAAGTTTTCACTCTTCCCAGAATGCCGCCCTAAGGGCTGCAACAGGATGTTTCCTCATGACCCCAATAGATGACATACACGAGGAGACGAAGATCTTTCCAGTGCGTCAATACAACACGATGTTGTCGATGGGTGTTATAGAAGTGACCATCCAAATCATCACCTTATGGATAGGCACCTACCACCGAGGTATGTCAGGAATGATCTTAAAGGGAGCCTCTAGGTCAAAAGGCCTATCAAGCAGGATTGAATCGTATTCACACGGATGCCAGTTGGGGAAACAATTCGAGAATATCGAGTGTATACAATCCTCGGAGATAATATGGATGGTATAGATGCCACAATTCATATTAGGCACGAATCAACGGTTGTCAATATATGCCCTGCATGTGGTAATGGTCCACATGACACGCTACACCTCTTCAACTGCCCAGCCAAACCCACTCATCTAACCCCAGCCTTTTTGGAACATGGAATTAGAAGCAAAACCAGATTAAGATTAATGAGAAATTCACGGCAGTATGAGCTGCTACAACAACATTTTAAAAACTTGTACATTACATATCGTTAGCTAAAATGCAAAAAGGCGTAACTAACAAAAAATTGAAAATTTACTTTTTGAATGAATATTGTGAATGTCAATAAACTACATGTGCTGACAAAGTTTTACACGTCTGCGGTCAAAAAAGGAGCTTCTATTAACAAAAAGGCGTAACTGACAAAAAATTCACGTTTTAACTTAATTGTTATGACTGCCATTAAACTAAATAACTAAATTTGTTAAAAAAATATAGTCTATTATTCGTCATATGCAATATCACCCTTCCGGGCATACTTTTTTTTTGACATGTTTATAGTTTTCATTCAAAACAGTTTTTTGCTTCTCCTACACAATTATGTTTTTGTTAGTTACACCTTTTTGCATTTTAGTTGACGATATGTAGCTAATTTGATAGCACATCGTAACATTTTAAGCAAGCCTACATCAAATCTGCAGTGGGGGTCTGGAGGACAACTTAGGTCAAACTTTAAATAAATTTCATTAAAAGTAGTCCACCTCGACACCAAACAGTCCTTCCGTAGATCTCTCCGGAATAACACACAGATTTTATTATTAGCTTTATATAAGATACATATGTATATGTTTTTATCGAAGAGATTTCGGATTTAATGTTGATCAAATCGGTAGTTCAATTCGCTTCAAATTAAATTTATAAGTTTATAAAATATTGACCATTTATGAAGAATGTACCGGGCTTGATCTAGGCTTGGTTAAGATAATAGGTTATGAAAAAAAAATTGGCTCCTATCGGACATTCCATTTGCCTCATATTGGATTCACAAATATTGAATATTTTGACAATTTGTGAGGGAGAAACCAGAAGAAGTGGATTATTATAAAATTAATATATTATTAATATATTATTATATATTATAAAATTAATTTTTTGCCCAATTTTGACCATTTTGTAGGGGAGGTACCAGAAGGAGTGGACCGATATTTCCCATCTTCGAACTTGATCAATGTTTGTAAGAAATATTCTTGGAGAATTGGTCTGAACATTTGGCATTTTGTATTTTTCGTTTTAGATTTAATTAATTTCCAAATAAAATTTTGACTAACTAATGTTTGACAAAATATAGAATTCTTCACCCAAATAACACAAGAAATTTTTTCTTCAAATTTTTAACATTTTATTAATAAATATCTGTAGAACATGATAAAACAGTAAAATAAAATAATTTATAGGAAGTCACTGAGATTGGGTTTGTTTTCTAGCCCCGGTATTGTTATTTTTGGTGTTTTTTTAAAAGGACGGTGGCGCCAAATATGTTAGGGTGGGGAATTCCAAATTCATTCTTCTTTTTCTTCATTTTTCACTACTGCTCAAATTTTCAAGATGAATTTCAATTAAATATACATATATGAATTATAATAATTATTTCACATTCTCATACGCCGCCATATACAAACTTAATCGGCTTTGATGTCACCACATCAGCTGATATTCCCGAAATAGGTTACTATTCGTTAATTTTGCATCGTTCTTCTTTATACCCATATTCGTAAACATATGCGATGTAGGGCGCTCTTTGATATTATCGTATTTTATTCTTTATATCTTCATTCGTAACGTTCGGAACGCTATTAAAATTGGCCTGGTTCGGCGAACAAAACGAAAACAAACATTCATTCACCAGCCAAAATAGAATTGTTTTTCTTTGTTTTCGGGAAAATCCAGCTTAAATGGCCACAACAATTAGAACGGCATGTGGCCAGCAGCTTTAACACGACTGCTGAAACGAAGATTAGCCTACATTATATTGGTTATATTATTTTTTGTATATGTAATTACAAAGACGATTAATAAGGTATGTGGAAGCAGATATTCCTCCGTGTTGCGCTGGAAATTATTCACTCCTTTTGATTTGTAGAATACCCCACAACATTTCCTGGAGTCCGATGTGTTTACTGTGGAACGTACAATCCCGCTAGTATGGCGTACGTCAGAGGAACATCTGCTATCGCTTAGACAACTAAAAGAAAATCCAACAATTCCGATCGGCACCATCGAGTGCCGTAATTCTATGCAAGGACGTGATCTATTGGCAGATGATAGGGGGTTTGTTTGTGAAGCTGACAATATACTCGCCAACGGTTGTTGTGATGTTCAACATGAAACGACCCAATATTACACCTGTGAAACATGTGACCCTGCCACACACTGTTGTGGCATCTATGAAAATTGTGTCTCCTGCTGCTTGCATCCCGAAAGACGGCCCCTGTTGGAGTTAGCATTGGAACAAATAAAGGGTCGCCAATCAATGGTTTATGCTCAGGTTGCCGATCAATATGAGTTGTGTTTGGTTAAGTGTCGCACCAATTCACATTCAGTCGAACATGAAAATCGTTATCGTGATCCGGTACATCGTTTCTGTTATGGTCCCACACAGGCTCATGAATCTCAAATAGAGGTATCGGGTATGGGTTCATGATAGAGGTGGTCTGGTGTGAATGATGGTATTTATTAACTCTAGTTTAGTTGTATATTTTTTGAAAAGGATATGTCAATGAAGTGTATATTTATACTCCATAGGATATAATCCAAAATTATTTCATAAAATCAGAAGAATATAAATCTAAACTAGGGTTTGTCCGAACGAATATGAATTACCTTGATGTTGGGTAATGCAACATGAACGGATACCAATACTGAACTGTGTTCCTTTGCTAGTTTAAAACCTTGTATGTAAACATTTCGGACTGTTCTCTTTATGGAATAATTATTGCCTTTTTTATAAAATGTATTTTCCTTCTCTTGTAATTAAGATGCAATAGATTTATTTAATTATTTGTATGTATACATATTAGGATAGCATATATTTGTATTGCAATACGTAAATAATTAATAATACTCACTTTTTTTTGTAAGTCGTTGTAGTTTTTTAAAACCACAAACAGAAGGTGCAGAAGCTATAAATAAATGACAATTTTGCAATGTAAACAATTGAATATATAGCGTTTAAATACTTTTATTTTTATTTGTTGTTTTAATTAGATGAAGAAGAATGAAAAAGAGCGATATTTTCCCGTTATTCCTAGTCCTCCTGGAGGTCTGATTATTGATGATGTTTATAATAGATTTATATACATATTTCGCTAGTAATGGAAATATGTCAGGAGCGGAATTTGTTCTTCAATTCAGAGCAGTTAAACGCCATATACTTTATGCACCAATCCTGACATAATATATATAGATCTATATATAGACCTGTATATAGATATATCTACTGAAGCCAATGGTCAATGACATTATTGGATCATACCAATGCGGCTTCATGCTTGGCAAATCCACCATTGATCACATTTTCACTCTGCGCAAAATCCTAGAAATTCGGTGGAAAGATCAAGTAGAAGACACCATCTCGGAACATGATCTTCCAAATTGTAAGAGCTGCACACAAGACCGACGCGCCTTGAAATCTTTTTTAAGCTCGGCTTATGGAACAAATGTTCCGTCGCAAGCCAGCAAAGTAAGAAATAGACCATCCCATTTCAACCAAGCCTTGCAAAACCTAATATTCTAATCATGCCTGTATAATGATGTAAGATGGGACTTTTCAGTCCTCCTCCTTCTAGTACCTTCTCCACAATGGGTCAAAGTTTTGAAAACCTGTAAATCGCATATAAAGCGAATGAAATATCCAACTTCACCAAAAATTTGCACATCGTAATATATTTACCTTACATAGATCATGTTCGAAGTTGAGACCCGTTAGTCTACTAATCCTGGTACCTCCCCCACAAAGTCATAACATTTTGGAAATTTGTTAATCCAATATCGAATCGTTATATTTTTACCAAACCTAGATTAAGTCCGTAGATGGGACTTATTGGTCCACTCCTACTGGTACCTATCTCCTACGGGTACCTACCCACAAAGGGTCAGCATTTAAGATGGGGTCTATAGGTTCCATTCCAAAGACCCATTACTCCTTATTTTGAGAATTTTTGTTCTTATTTCAAATTTTGGGTTCTCATTGGGTTCAAACCTTTCTGTCAAAAGTGATAAATTTTCGTTTTGGTATAGCCCACATATTACGTGTCCCCCAAATTTCAGTATTTTTGACACATTTTTCATATGCTGAAATTTGGTATATTGGGATGTCATTGTTTAGCAAATCTTCTTTTGTAGTACGGCTCAAATATGCAGTAGTTGAGATGGCAGCCGCTGGTCGAAGAATTCCTCAGAGTCAACCAGTCGCATAGAACCGGCCGCCGTGGGATTAATTGACAGCGCGATACCAAAAACCTGACCATACGCTGTATCTCTTTAACTACCCTGCTAAACCCACTCAGCTGTCTCCAGAATCTCTTTGGACGCATCCGATACAGATTGCAACCATCCTGAGCAAAAGGAGTCAGAATCGGAATAATGGCAAAAAATACAACAAACATTTAGACAATTGCTACAACAACTACAACTAAAAATTATTAATATTAGTAGGTAGCCCCTATATAATTGCACTTCCCGCAATTTCGGATTTTTTCAACAAAATATACTGTAATTTGATATATTGGAATTTCGTTGGGTGGAAAAATGGGTCCATTTTCAAAAAGCTCCCATATATCTCAAATAACTGGGTAATCTGGGGAGTTTTGGTATTTTCTTTTTTTTTTAATTAAAACGGCTGTAATTTGTTATTTTGGGTTCTCATTGGGTAAAAATATCTTAAGTCTCGCCATAGACCCTTATAAAATTACCTTCAGTATTCGTGTTTCATACGAATTGGCTATATCATATAATTTAGGTTTGGTTTAGTTAGTCACCTGTTTAGTTAGTCACCTGTTTCTTCTACGAAAGTATATACAAATAAAGATATTTGTATATACTTTCGTATTACATAATTTTTGTAAAAAAAATTAACAATTTTATATAAAATAAAACGTTATAAATTTATTCAATTTAGTCTTTAAAAATTTCTTTAAGAAGTATTAACTTCTCTCTTTTACAAATCCTCTTCGAATTGTTCATTTTTATTTATACCCGAAAACAATCGATTGCCCTTAACATAGGCATAAGCCATGCGTCGCGAAGTCCAGTAAATGCCCACCTTACCCGTGGCATCAATTGTTATAGCACCACCGGTACCCACTAAACGTTCCGTCATTTCATTACAAGCTTCCTCCGTCGCTTCCTGGGCCGTCTTATTACCATATTGTATTTTGCCCAATATTTTCTGTGCCAAATTATAACGCATAATTGTTTCACCATGCCCTGTTGTTGAAACGCCGCCAATTTTATTATCAGCATATGTACCACAACCCAGTAGAGGGGTATCACCAATTCGGCCAGGCACTTTTCCAGTTATACCACCTGTGGAGGTGGCAACAGCAATGTTACCTTTCGCGTCAATGGCCACAGCGCCCACTGTACTGCCAGATTCACCAACTCGTTGTTTTCCCTCGTCTTTGGTAGATTTTTCGGCATCAAGTTCAGTGCGAGAAAATATAGTATCCAAACCTTTTGCTTGTCGCTCCTTAAATTCTTCCAATGCCCGTCGTGCATCATCTGTTACTAGGGAACCATCTAGAATGAAGAAAAATAACAATTTCAACATTTTATATTTTGGGAGAAGTGAAAATTCGTCTAAATACCATCTAAATCTTGTACAACACCATCTCACTCACCTGGCAATTGTTCGAATCCCTGCTCCAGGGCAAATTTCTGTGCCGCCGCACCGCCCAAAAAGGTGTGATTGGTCTTGTGCATAACATAGCGGGCCACCGATATAGGATGCATTATATCATGTAGCAGAGTAACACATCCTGCCCGCAACTTATCACCTTCCATGATGCTAGCCTCCACCTCAGCCTTGCCATCCAAATTCAAACATGCACCATAGCCAGCATTAAAATTCTCATCACATTCCATAGATCGGACAGCTGCTTCGACGGCATCCAAGGCATTGCCTTCACCGCCATTTGGTGGAATCAAATGTTCAATGGCAGAGCGTAAGGCTTTTTTCATACCAACCAATTTGCCCGGTACACGGGCATCGGTAATATCACCCGCACCGCCATGAATCAGGAGTATTGGTTCGATGGACATAGTTTTTCACTTCTAATTTTTACGTTCCAATCCGTTATGTTATGGTTCCTTTGTGACTGGCCGTAGGTTATTGTTCCAGAATTGCTTACTTGGTTTGTGGCTTCTTTTTGATATCTGCTATGTTGTTGTCACTCCTTATCAGCCAATTGCATTTATAATATTTTTCCATCGGATTTGTTTTTGTTTGCAATATGACCGGTTAGAGAGGTTTTGTTTACATTTTTTTCCTTCTTTGTTTAAATTTGCAAGGCAGAAATGCCAGATTGGCTTGCATTTACATGCATTCATAAATTTCTAGCATACATTTAGGCGTTGAAAAATAAATTAGTTATACGTTACGTTAATTAGTAATATTATTGTAATTCATAGAAAATCGGTCGTTAATAATACCCTCCAGCAGATATATCTTTAAAATTTCGGATAAGCTATGAAACGACCAGCGGACCATTTTTGTTTTATAAGAAATCACAAGGTCTCCTTTTCAGCAACCCAATTGCAATTCAGAAAAGGTGACAGTTTGTCGTGTGATCTTTTTCTTGTTGAAAAAGGTCATACGATATTCAAAGGTGAACAGAAATGACAATCTTTACACCAAAGAGTATATGTTACTCGCCGACGACATAGACATAATGGGTCGAACATTGCGAGCGGTAACAGCCTTCTTTGAACAAATTAAGAAGGGGTCTGCCAATGTTTGGCTGTCTTATGGAGGCAAAATTTGCCGTAACGTATGGAAATCTGTCTAGGATAGAGTGTGTTAAGTTTCATTGAAATCGGATCAGATAAAGATATTACTCACATATATATTTTCGAGCGATTTTAAATAAATGGTGCACTAAATTCCCATGTTATGTCCTATTGAGAACAAATTTGGCATATCGTAATGAAATGAGTATAGGATAGAGTGTGTTAAGTTTCATTGAAATCGGATCAGATATAGATATACTTATTTAACTGGCTTATGACAGAACGGATGTTCCATAAGCCGAGCTTAAAGAAGATTTGCAGGCGCGTCAGTCTTCCCCTTCTGCGTGAACCATCACTTGATTCGCTTTTATATGCCTTTTGAGCTGTGGTATCTTCATCCATTCTCACAAGATGGCCTAGCAAACGTAGTCGCTGCAGATCGATCCGCCATTCGACGGCGATATTCACCATCGACGCAAATCATTAAAATTTTTTCTCTCAAACACTCCAAGAGCTGCCTCATTTGCTTACGCAAGTACCCATGCTTCAGATACATAAAACAGCACGGGTACCTCGAAGCTGTAGTTTTCAAGTTCCACAGTTGGTCCAAGTCAACTGAACGTCTTGCGCGTTGATAACACCAGCTTGGTCTTTTCGCCATTTACTACCAGTACCGCTTCTCAATTCGTTCAAAGGTGGATGTTACCGCTCGCATATGCTATATGGCGCACTGAGTGACATTTGTGTTCACATTTGCATCTCGTATGCCCTTTTCCAGCAGGATGTTAAACAGGTCACAACTTTCACTTTGTCTGAATCCTCGTTTGGTATTGAAGGGTTCCGATAGGTCCTTTCCGACTTTAACTGCTGATCTTGTGCCACTTAAAGTTATCCTGCATAGCCGTATTAATTTTACAGGAATGCCAAACCCAAAAATGGTTTTAAACACCTGTGAACGGATGTCGAATGCGGTTTTATAGTCGACGAATAGGTGGAATGTGCTGATATAATTTTCGTGGGTCTTTTCCAGGACTTGGCGCAGATTGAAAATCTGGTCAATGGTGGATTTGCCAGATCTGAAGCCGCATTGGTATGGTCCAATGATGTCATTGACCATTGGCTTCAATCGTTCACACAGCACACTGGATAGCACTTTATATGCGATGGGAAGGAGACGAAGAGGGAAGAAGGCACATATCGCTGAGGTTCCAATCATTGGGCATGCATTCATCTAGCCAAATTGTACTAGTAATCAGCTGCTGCTAATCCATCGGCACCTGCTGCTTCATTGTTCTTCAGCCGATTATTTGCTACTCTGACCTCATCTTGGCTAGGTGGTATACACTCTATACCGTCATCTCTTATTGGTTCTGGGGTATATTCTTCGTCTATTTGATACCAGAAGCTTTTTTTGATATCAGAAGCTTTTTTGGTTTGGTTTTCTTTTTCGTTGCTTTTTCATTGTAGAAGGGGGTTTCCGAGTGTGAGCAACTAAACCGACGCCTCAACACTTTTGTTATAGTTCTTATGGGTGAACTCGCGGCACATATCAGCTCACTATTTCAACGGATGATGAAAGTAGCTACCCCAGCTGACACCGCGTGGGGGTCAGTGTCCACAATTGAGATGAAAGAGGGACCAGGATAAGCCTGGGATTCGCCATGTTAAAGCCAATCAGAGTCGTTGCTTGGTAGCTAGCATCCCCTACGTCACCCCAGATATAGATATAGCTCCCATATAAATCGGACGGAAATGACCAAATCGGTATTGAATCAGATTCTGATGTATAAAATACATATATACTCTATGGGGTCTCTGACCCATCAAATTTTGGTCCACATTTTTTTTTATAAAAATTACTAGACATTTTAAGTATTTTTTTTATAATTTCATTTATTAAATTCAGTATTCAACACGTATTCTGTGCATTGTTTTATGTTAAAAATTATGTATATAAAATCATTAAGTATGTAAGAAAAAATATATATTCATATAATATATATATATTCATATTCATTATGGGGTCTCTGACGAATGTTTGAAGGTGTTTTGAAGTGTGTTTAAAACCATCAAATTTTGGTCCACATTTTTTTTTTTTTATAAAAATTACTAGACATTTTAAGTATTTTTTTTATAATTTCATTTATTAAATTCAGTATTCAACACGTATTCTGTGCATTGTTTTATGTTAAAAATTATGTATATAAAATCATTAAGTATGTAAGAAAAAATATATATTCATATAAATATTATTATAGAAATAATTCTTAATACAACATTTTACTACTAATCCCTGACTCGTGGTATTATGCCTAACGATCGGCACAATATGAATAATCACAACCAAAATCGATATTGATATGAAAACATGAAATACGTAAACATATCAATAAATTACATACAGGCAAAAAACATAAAATCTCTTATATAATATTTACAAAAAAAGTGAAAAATTAATATATAAATATATATTTAAAAAAATATATATACGAAATACTCGTACACATTATTAAATACCAATTTTAATACCATTTCTATTTTTTGGGGCGTGGTTGGTTTGGCAATACTTGTGGTGCGAGTCCATTATTTTTCTATTCTTTTTTCTACTTTTCTTAATGTTGCATTTTGTTGCTAGCCTGTATGGTGGCTGTGCTGCCAACACGACGACGATCGAAATAGGGTTCTGGCACTCCAGTCCGTACACCAATGGCTGTTAGGGCAGCAAAACCACTGCCCTCGGGTGACACTTGCATGGCATGTCCCACCTTAGTTAAATAATTACGAATCTCAATGGGGACTTCAGATTCGGCGTCAATTCGCATCGGAGCCAATTGATGGTGTAAACGGCCATCGTTAACGGCTTGTTCCATTGTTTCGTTGAATATTAAATATTTGATAATTGTCTGGAAAAGGAAAATAAAATGAAATATTAAAAATATATATATGCAAATTAAGTTAGGTTCGGACAAGCCGAACTTCTTATACCCTTCACCAGAGTTAAACAATGCAAAATATCAAAAATCGATACAAAAGTTTCGATCGATTTTAGTATTTTGAAAGGTAAACCGTTGCCAGAAGCATGCGAAATACTAAACTGAAGGCACTCAGGTTGAAAAATTGGATTAGGACCTTGTAAGAGGGGATATGTATGGTCTTGGACTAATTTTGAAAATCTTCTGCAAAAAAAAAAATATTTACCCACCAAGATCCCGGAATGCTCCCGAAACATTGTAAATATAGTCACATCGTTTGAAAAATGCGCCGATGACCATCAAAACACCTATAATAGGCTGGACCTTTAGATGGGCGGATAGGTCAAAGTTTCGATCCATATTTATAATTCTTGGCAGGAAGATTTACGACTTAATGAGAATAAAAAATATATAAATATAGGCTAGTCCGCAGAAAAAAAGCTGCCTAAGCTCCCAAAAATATCGAAATTCGGAAGGCACCTTTATAAGGGGACTATACCAAAACGTGGATCGATCGGGATAATTTTTTGTGTAGGAAGGTTTGGCACCCACTGAGAACACAATATCAATTTTAAGCTAGTTTGGTTGGAAATTGTGCCTAAAATCCGCATAATACCGAATAATGGAGGGTATCCTTGTATGGGGACTACTCCGAAATAAAAAATATTTACCCACCAAGATCCCGGAATGCTCCCGAAACATTGTAAATATAGTCACATCGTTTGAAAAATACGCCGATTACCATCAAAACACCTATAATAGGCTGGACCTTTAGATGGGCGGATAGGTCAAAGTTTCGATCCATATTTATAATTCTTGGCAGGAAGATTTACGACATAATGAGAATCAAAAATATATAAATATAGGCTAGTCCGCAGAAAAAAGCTGCCTAAGCTCCCAAAAATATCGAAATTCGGAAGGCACCTTTATAAGGGGACTATACCAAAACGTGGATCGATCGGGATAATTTTTTGTGTAGGAAGGTTTGGCACCAACTAAGAACACAATATCAATTTTAAGCTAGTTTGGTTGGAAATTGTTCCTAAAATCCGCATAATACCGAATAATGGAGGGTATCCTTGTATGGGGACTACTCCGAAATTTGGGCCAATATTCATAATTTTTGGTAGGGAGATTTTCTATCTAATGAGAACCAAAAATATGTAATTACAACCAAATCGGTTGGAAAACTTGCATAAACTCCCAAAAATACCGAAATTCGGGGGTGCCGTTCTATGGGGTCTATTCTAAACGTGGACCGATATTGAAAAATTTTTGATAGGTAAATTTGGCAGCACCTAAGAACCCAAAATACCAAATTAGAGTCCATTCGGACTTGCCTCAAATTCGTAAAATATCGAATAAAGGGCGACATCGTAATAAGAGGCCTAGCTCGAGACTTGATTCCGAAGGTACCGTTATAAGGGGACTATACCAAAACGTGGATAATTTTTGGTAGGTAAATTTGACAGCACCTAAGAACTCCAAAAATATCAAATACTCAAAAAAAAAAAAAAATACCGCCAAATTGGGGGTACCCTTATATGGGAGCCACAACGAAACTTGGACCTATACTCATAATTTTTGATCGGGAGATTTGACAACACCTGATAACCCCAAATACCAAATTAGAGCCACTTGGATAAAAACCCCTTCCCTTATATGGGGGCTACACTGAAAACTTCGAAATTCCGAATATTCGAGGGTTCTGTTATATGGCGCATGTAGTAAAACGTGGACCGATTTTTATAAATTTTGGTGAGAAGATTTGAAAACCACTGAGACAATCCAAAATATCAAATTACAACAAATTTTGTCGGAAAAATCGCCAAAATAACCAAAAAGGAGGATACCTCCAAGTGAGAACTGAAAACACTTGTGCTAATTTTTATCATTTTTGATAGGTGAACCGAAAATAATAAATAGTTGTTTTTTATAAAAACAACAAACTGGGATTAAGCCTGACTATTTTGCAAAAACAAAATGAACCGAAAATATCTAATTACAACCTATTCGGTTGGAAAACATAACAAAATACCGAACATTTGCGAGGTATCCTTATATGGAGCCTATAGCAAAACATGGAACGGTATTTGCAATTTTGTAATCCAAATTAAATTTCCGATCTAGAAGAGTACCTCAAATATTTCGACCTTATGATGGAAAATAAAAAAAAAAAACAATTTTTTGAATCCTTACCGCTGCCACCGAAGTTGTAATTTTGGTACCGCCGGCAGCACCAACCAACATCTTTACATTTCCATCTTGATCGAGTATAATAGCGGGGCACATTGAGGACATTGGCCTCTTGCCAGGTTTAATGTAATTCGCAGGTGATGCGGGTACACCAAAGGAATTAATAAGGCCGGGTGTCGAAAAATCATCCATTTCATCGTTCAAAATAATACCAGTACGTGTCGAACGTACTTTGGAACCAAAATAATTATTAACAGTACTGGTAACAGTAATGGCATCACCATTTGCCGCCAACACAGCCATATTGGCAGTACCATGATCCTCCTCCACGGTGAAATTGGCACCATAATATTCAGTATCATTGAAAGTCTTATCGTCGAATATCAATTTTCGAATCTCGTCAGCAAAATCTTGACTAATCATTTTCTCAAATGTTTCCTGGATAATATCGTGCATTTCCGGGTCGTTTTCCATGTCACCCAAATTGCTGCGATGGCCATAGGCATGCTTGAAAGTTTCCATAACACGTTGCCAGTAAATGGGGCGATCTTCGGTATACAAATCACTCATCACATTCAAAATGAAGGCCAACAAGGCACCGCTGGAGGGTAGGGGTGTGGTATAGAGTTTATAGCCACCCGTGACATTGGCCACCACATGATGGGTATTCTCCCATTTGACCCTAGGAAAAATAAATTAATTTGTAATAAACAAATATCAAATCTGTTATTCTCTCAATTCCCACTCACTTGTAATTCTTGAGATCATCCAAGGTAATAATACCACCCATAGCCTGTATATCCTCAACAAACATACGTCCAGTCTCACCACCATCATACATTTCCCCAGCACCATTTTTAGCAATTCTCTCCAAGGTATCGGCCAATGCTAATCGCTTTAAATAATCACCCTCCTTGTATAGGCTACCATCTTCTTTAACGAAAATTTCCGCCATCGAAGGTTCGTCACGAATTTGTTTTTCCTTAGAGGCAAGAGCAGATGCCAAATATTTCGATACCCAATGCCCCTCACGACACAATTTTATGGTGGGTTGAAAGAGTACACTCCAGGGTAGGCGGCCATATTTCTGATGCATTTCCCAATAGCCAAGAATTTCTCCGGGTACTGCACCAGCCAGGGCACCTAAGGGAAGAAAGGAGTAATTAATTTTAAATGGGTAAATCGGAATGGAGATATTTTTTGCTGATTAAAATTTTTGTTGATAATATCCTACAAAAAATGAAAGAGAAATCGCATCGACATTGTCTACAATAATTTTCTAATAAATCGATGTTTTCGTGTGACCGTTAACTAGTTTTCAATTAAAGTGGTTCCATAAGAAAATACCCCAGAACCAGTAAGAGATGGCGGTATAGACTGTATAGCACTTAGCCACGACGAGGTTAATCGGCTAATGAATAATAAAGGAAACAGCACATGTTACTCGCCTACGCCGATGATATCGACATAATGGGTCGAACATTGCGTTCGGCATTCCTACAGCAGTTAAAGTCCGAAAGCACCTCTCGGAGCCCTTGTATACCGAACGAGGATTCAGACAAGATGACAGTTTGTCGAGTGATATTTTTAACATTCTGCTGGAAAAGGTCAAACGATATGCAAATGTGAACAGGAATGACAATCTGTATACCAAACAGCATATGTTACTCACCTATGCCGATGACATCGACACAATGGGCCGAACATTGTGAGCGGTAACAGCCACATTTGAACGAATTGAGAAGGAGCAGCACAGTATTTTACTCGTTGGCAGATTGACACATACAGATTGGCCGAACAGAAGCGAAATATAATTCTGAACTAACTTCGCCGTCAGGATAATGCATACAGATTGGTCAAACAGGAGTGAAATACGCTTCAATATTATATTGGTACGCATGACGCTAGATATAAAGATTGGGTGATATTGCAGATAATATTCGAAATGATTCAAAGCGTTAATTTCGGCAAGAAGAGCATGACAGGTATTGCTTCCTGCATCCACTAAGGAGAAGATCTTCATATAACAGAAGACCCAAAGCAGCACAGCATTTAACTCGTTGTCAGTGTGATACATACAGATTGGCCGAGTAGAAGCGAACTAGGATTCTGAACTAACTTCGTCGTCAGGATGATGCATACAAATTGCCCGAACAGGAGCGAAATATAATTCTGAACAAACTTCGTCGTCAGGATTATGCATACAGATTGGCCTAACAGGAGCCTAGTACGATTCAGCACACACTTCGTCATCAGGATGATGCATACAGATTCGTTGAACAGGAGGGAAATCAAAGATCAAAAATGGGCTTCGACTTTTCAATAAAAAACCCGATTTATCGAAAGTAGAATTACTTATCCCTACGCTGATTGGTGCATTTGGTATACTGACCAAACCAATTTTTGACCTCTTATAAAGCAAACTTTCGATGGTATTATATTATGCGGCGAAAAAGTGAGAACTTTTATAAGGTGCTTTTTTAATGCACAATTTTGCCATTTACTTTGGGAAGTGAATATCTTTCCAGAACATGCCGATGTTCGATGCAATATCAACCTAGGTTTTATATATGGGATACCTTTCCAAAGCACGTTGGGAGAGATCGTCATGGTAATAACGAATAACATTCACATAGAGGTACCTATAATCGATCTACAATTGGGTCGTTCCGAATGGAACTAGTTCAAAGGAACTATTCCGCAAAAGGAAGATCGGTACTAAGATCGGATATTTTTAGTTCATTTTGCTCTAGTAGAACTCATTTATTAGTTTCATATTGTCCAAATCACAAATGTGTTTTCCAAGTCCAGACAATAACATTTGAAGTTTTCATAATCAATTTCCAGAAAAAACTCATTGTTCGGAAAACTAAGACGTAATTAAAATAGTTACTTAGCACTTTCACACTTACCTGTTACCGCCGATTGTCCAACAAACATATCTTTAGTGGCTGCAGCCGGTGCAGATTCACGAGCAATCAATGTTTCGATTTTACGTTCAGATTTCTTATAAATTGTAGCAACAAAACCACCGCCAATACCCATGCTATGCGTTAAAATGACACCTTCACAGAGTAGAGTGGCAATGGCTGCATCCACCGCGGTACCACCATCGGTTAACATTTGGCTGTAAATTAAACAAACAAGAGAAAAAAATATTTGAGAAAAAAAACATTTTAAAGGAATGTATTTTTGGAAAATAAATAAAAATTAACAAAAATCGAATTTCTGGAAACAAAACACGAATATACCCTTTTTTACAAACTCTTAAAACAATGTTGAAATAATACCTGACTTTAAAGTCTTTTTCGATTTGCTGTCCAAAAAGAAACTCGGTCATCCATTTAGTTTCTTTTTCAGTTCAATCGTTCCATAGCACTCATCAATGAACGGGAAAATCTAAATTGAACGGTTGGATCAAAAGAAACTAGGTGAACGACATCAAAAAAGGGTACGACTAGGTGAATGATAGAAGTAGAGCTACCGATCGTTCCTTTCATGAATGAAGCAGTTAGAAGCAAATTTAAGTACTGTACTTTTTATTTTCTTAAGAATATATTAAATTAATATAGAAGGCAAAGAGATTTTGAGTAGAGGAAGATTTGCTTGTCGGAATTTTGAAAAAAAAAAAACAATATACACTCTGTAGAAAATGTCTGCGTACAACCTTGCGCTTTACTCTATAATGCTCGAAAACCAATTTTCTACACAAGATTATATCAAACGCTGGATTTTAGGTTTTTTTTGTCAAAAACCTATTGGTTTTGCATAGCTTTCTGACGTTTTAGACGTATGTAATATACGTCGGAAATGTATGTCATTTACGTCACTGTTTCTGACGGACCATCGCTGTACACAGGTAACTATTTTTATCATATCATTAATTAATAGAATGAAACGGATTTCCTTTGCCAAGGAGCATTTAAATAAAAATGCTGGATATCATGGCCGTGTTGTACGTATAAAGCCCTTCATATCGTTAATTAATAGAAACGGGTTTCCTTCGCCAAGGAGCATTTAAATAAACTTCGGGTGTTTTGGGAAAAAGTTATTTTCTCAGGCGAGAGCACGTTTTGTGTTTTTGGAATCAAATGTATGACGAAAAAAGGGTACGGCGCTTGATAATAGCAACTTTGTATCGATTGTGAAACATGACCGGGCGGTGCAATATATGGGGATGTATGGCTAATAGTGGCGTGGGACAATTGGAGCTCATCATGTCTACTATAGATAAATATGTGTACCTAAATATTTTAAAGGCAAATTTGAAGCGGAACGCCGAGAAATTGAATCTGAATATCGACTACTACTTCCAGCAGGATAATGACCCCTTACACACTACTGACATAGTTAAGTTTTGTATACTCTAGAATGTCCCTAAACAGCTTCGAAAGCCGCCACAGTCCCCTGATCTGAACCCAATAGATCACCTATGGGATGCCCTGGAACGACGAATCCGACATCGCAAAATTACCTCTAATACGAAATAAAGTGATTTCCCATCGAATCACGGAAGAGATAATATCAATCTCAGGTGCCCATGGGTTACCATCCGAACTATTCAAGACTGGTGGTGGTCAGATGCTGGTCAGTAGCATGCACCAGCTGATTAGTACAATGTGGCTAGAGGAATGCATGCCCAATGATGCGAACTTCAGTATCCCGTGCACAAAAAGTAGACAAGAGCCAACTATAGAGCAATACATATCCTTCCCATCGCATATAAAGTGTTATCCAGTGTGCTGTGTGAACGATTGAAGCCAGTGGTCAATGACATTATTGGACCATATGAATGCGGCTTCAGACCTGGCAAATCCACCATTGACCAGATTTTCACTCTGCTCCAAATCATGGAAAAGACCCACGAAAAAAACATCGACACATATCACCCATTCGTCGACTGTAATGCCGCATTCGACAGTATTATCCGTTCACAGGTGTTTAAAGACATGCTTACGTTCGGCATTCCTGCAAAATTAATACGGCTATGCAGGATAACTTTAAATGACACAGTTAAAGTTGGAAAGGACCTATCGGAGCACTTCAATAGCGAACGAGAATTCAGACAAGGTGACAGCTTGTACACAAAAAAACACATGTTACTCGCCTACGCCGATGACATCGACATAATGGGTCGAACATTACGAGCGGTAACAGCCACCTTTGAATAAATTGAGAAGGAGTCTGCCAAAGTGGGTCTGGCAGAGAGAAGACCAAGCTGATGGTATAAACGCGCAAGACGTCCAGTAGACTCGGATCAACTGTGGAACTTGAGAACTACAGCATCGATGTAGTCATAGATGTTATATACCTAGGTACCGCCATAATGACATCAGTTTTACAAGATCAGCACTTAAAGTCGGAAAGGACCTCTCGGAGCCCATTAATACCGAACGAGGTTTCAGACAAGGTTATAGTTTGTCGTGTGACCTTTTTAACATTCTGCTGGAAAAGGTTACACGAGACGCAAATATGAACAGAAGTGGCACTCTGTACACGAAACAACACATGTTACTCGCCTACTCCAATGACATCGACATAATGGGTCAAACATTGAGAGCAGTAACAGCCGCCTTTGAACAAATTGAGAAGGAGTCTGCCAAAGTGGGTCTGGCAGTAAACGGCGAGAAGACCAAGCTGATGGTATCAACGCGCAATACGTCCAGTAGACTCGGACCAACTGTGGAACTTAAAAACTACAGCTTCGAGGTAGTTAAAAAATGTATATTCCTTGGTACAGACATAAATAAAACGAATGACATCAGTTTTGAAATTCGGAGAAGGATAGTGATGGCAAACAGATGCTACTATTGTATGAGAAAACAACTCAAAAGCAAGGCCACCTCCCGCCAGACCAAACTCCCACTCTACAAGACGCTGATACTACCTGTGCTCTTATACGGATCTGAAGCATGGGTACTTACGCGAGCAGATGAGGCAGCTCTTGGAGTGTTTGAAAGAAAAATTCTCCGAAAGATCTGCGGACCGATCTGCGTCGACGGTGACTATCGGCGTCGAATGAACCACGAGCTTTACAATTTATGAGCGGACATCGACATAGTCAGTCGTATTGAGCTGCAGCGACTACGGTGGCTAGGCCATGTAGTGCGAATGAATGAGAATGCCCCGGCTCAAAAGCGGCATATAAAAGCGAGCCTACTGATCCCGCAGAAGGGGAAGGCCACGAATTAGTTGGAAAGATCAAGTTGAAGACAACATCTTGGAGCGTGGTATTTCAAATTGAAGGAGATGCGCGCAAGACCGACGCAATTGTAAATCTTTTTTGAGCTCGGCTTATGAAACAACCGTTCTGTAACAAGCCAGCATAGTCATATGTTATTACATTAAGGTGTGGAGTAAAAATGAAATTCTAAATAAAGTAAGTTCCCATTGAACCATGGAGCAGATAAAATAGTCCACGTTTGTTTTATTTCAAAAGATTTGGGTCATTTCGGTACGAACTAGTTCCAAGGAACTATGTCATCTAGTTCCTTTTGAATCAGTCATTCCTTTTTACTCTAGTACACCTTGTTCCTCCTTTTTAATCAGTCGTTCATCTAGATCTTCCCGTTCATTTACCGAATCCGTGTATAATTGAACGATTGAACAAAAAGGAACTATGGAACTAAATTAATAACATATTTTCTTTTGCAGATCGAACTTCTTCAGGAACGAGATTATCCAAGTCTACGGGAGTCATTAATTGATCTAAGGCTTTAAAGTAAAATCGACTTACCTTCCAATTTCGGCACATCCTCTGCCATTGGATACAACGGCACCAACGATAAGTGCATCATTACTACCCTTTAGGCCAAATACCAGACCTAATACCACCGCCAATACAACCAAGGCGGCAAGGGACGCCCATATGGCGATCTTTTTATTTATGACAATTCTGTAAAGAATAAAAATGGTTGATTATAATTTATTGTGCAAGTAGTAAAATATTACAATTCCATAACATTATTAAAATTCAAATAAAGCAGAAGGCACAGAAAATATAGATTAAAAAAAAAATAAATCAAATATATATTTCAATAAAAAGGAGGATAAAATAGGGTCTCTATACCATATATAAGCATATAAAACATTTAATTTTTGAATTCCCTGACCTCTACCTCAATTTTTACTTTTCCTTAGACCGGAAACCTTTTTCTAGACTCTAGATCTTAAATCGTAAATGTATGTATTTTTGAATAATGAGTTGTGCTATCTTCCTGACCCATAAAAAATTGGAATTTCACCCAACACAGTAATTTTCCATCAAGATTATAAATCTTCTATTACTTTGCAACCTTTTTTTAAATCTCCTTGTCGCCTTAGCTCTATTTTCTATGTACTTATCTGATATAATAATAATGACATGACGTGCTTAACGCCGTTCATTGCGATAAATCACTCGTGATACTGATACGGAGAGAGTGAGAAAAAATATATATACAACAACAAAAAATTTAATCGCGTGTCTTAATAAGATAAGGTTGAATCTGAACAAAAAACCGCGGTGATAATTTTTATTTAATTGTTTTCATTTTTCAAAAATTCAAAAATTTAATGCCAAATTGGAATTGGATGGACTTTGAATTTCCCTGTTAAGGGAGAGGGGAAAATAAAGGAGTTATGTCCAGAAGATCATCTAAAAATTGTCCGTAGACGGAAGAGTTTTTGTAGAACTTCTATAAAAATCGAATCGAAAAAGTATATATAAAATTGTGTATCGAAATCGAAAAATTCCCTGTTCGAATTTTGTGCTTATTGCCAATATTCTATTTAACTTGGCCACACTTATCTGAAATTCCAAAGAATATTCACTTATCGCTTCATAAAAAATGAGAGTCATTAAAAAATCGATTGAAACCAGTTTCTGTTTACAGTTCTCAATAGTACTTCAAATACCTTTAACTATTCTCAGGTGTCATAAATCTTCCTCCAATTTGTCATTAACTTACAATGCACTTCTATTAGAAAAAATATAATTTATTGTGTCCGCGATAGTGGGATATTACTTGAGTTGAGTGTGCAAATAATAATGACGTAGTCGAAAAGGTAGACAGAAACCTTTTCAAGACATTGATTTTTACATTTTTTCATGATGTGAATTTTTTTGAAGAATATTTTTTCAAGGACCACTACAATAGACGTGGATTTTTTAAAGAATATTTTTTCAACGACCACTACAATAGGCGTGGATTTTTTAAAGAATATTTTTTCAAGGACCACTACAATAGGCGTGGATTTTTTAAAGAATATTTTTTCAAGGACCACTACAATAGGCGTGGATTTTTTAAAGAATATTTTTTCAAAGACCACTATAATAGGCGTGGATTTTTTAAAGAATATTTTTTGTCAACGACCACTATAATAGGCGTGGATTTTTTAAAGAATATTTTTTGTCAACGACCACTATAATAGGCGTGGATTTTTTAAAGAATATTTTTTGTCAACGACCACTATAATAGGCGTGGATTTTTTAAAGAATATTTTTTGTCAATAGGCGTGGATTTTTTAAAGAATATTTTTTGTCAACGACCACTATAATAGGCGTGGATTTTTTAAAGAATATTTTTTGTCAACGACCACTATAATAGGCGTGGATTTTTTAATGAATATTTTTTGTCAACGACCACTATAATAGGCGTGGATTTTTTAAAGAATATTTTTTGTCAACGACCACTATAATAGGCGTGGATTTTTTAAAGAATATTTTTTGTCAACGACCACTATAATAGGCGTGGTTTTTTTAATGAATATTTTTTGTCAACGACCACTATAATAGGCGTGGATTTTTTAAAGAATATTTTTTGTCAACGACCACTATAATAGGCGTGGATTTTTTAAAGAATATTTTTTGTCAACGACCACTATAATAGGCGTGGATTTTTTAAAGAATATTTTTTGTCAACGACCACTATAATAGGCGTGGATTTTTTAAAGAATATTTTTTGTCAACGACCACTATAATAGGCGTGGATTTTTTAAAGAATATTTTTTGTCAACGACCACTATAATAGGCGTGGATTTTTTAAAGAATATTTTTTGTCAACGACCACTATAATAGGCGTGGATTTTTTAAAGAATATTTTTTGTCAACGACCACTATAATAGGCGTGGATTTTTTAAAGAATATTTTTTGTCAACGACCACTATAATAGGCGTGGATTTTTTAAAGAATATTTTTTGTCAACGACCACTATAATAGGCGTGGATTTTTTAAAGAATATTTTTTGTCAACGACCACTATAATAGGCGTGGATTTTTTAAAGAATATTTTTTGTCAACGACCACTATAATAGGCGTGGATTTTTTAAAGAATATTTTTTGTCAACGACCACTATAATAGGCGTGGATTTTTTAAAGAATATTTTTTGTCAACGACCACTATAATAGGCGTGGATTTTTTAAAGAATATTTTTTGTCAACGACCACTATAATAGGCGTGGATTTTTTAAAGAATATTTTTTGTCAACGACCACTATAAATATTATTGCGGCACGTGCATGCGTTTATCTTCAGACATGTAATTAAGCATAAAATGTATTTTAAGGGGGGTTTACGATTCGTATTAATTTTTATTAATCATATTCAACAAAATTAGCGTCATACGATTAAAGAATTAAGAAAAAATACTCAGATTTTTTTTATTTATATTAATAAGCGGGTCAAAGTTTTAATACCTTAAATATATAAATCTTCCGCAAGCACCTCATACATCTCCAAACCTTATACAATTTTATAATTTTTGTGATTAGAACCTTATCAAATGATTATAAATATCCCTCCACCTTTTCAAATCACTTCCCCTTAAAACCTATAAGCTGTCATACCACCGCCAATTAATTATCCCTAATAGTGATAAATTACTTCATTTTTTTTCTTACCTGATTCCTCGAATATTTGTGGTACAAATACGTAATTTAATAATCATAATTAAAAAACTTGTATTCTTTAAGAGTCTTGTCAATTCTTGAACAATGAGAGACAGCCACGAGACAATTATTATTTTTTGTTGTTGATGCTACGAAACAATAAAAAATTGACACTTAAGATAAGAGCTGTTATTTGACGTGGACGAAAGGGAAAAAATCCAAAACAAACAAGTCATTTACCCTACGTAGCTTATCAACTAAATAAAACTAGATGTATGTAGTTAATTAGTCCAATATTGTTTCTTTTTTTATTTTCAGAATTATCAAGATAGGAAATGACAACCAGCAACAAATTGGGAGACCTAACGTAATAATATTTTTGGTGTAATATTACAAATAATTGAGATAACAAGGTGGTATTTTGGCCTTGAAAAAAAAATATTTTAAGAATTTGAGATTAAAAAAATATTCTTTTAAAAAATCTACGCCTTATGTAGTTTTTGAAAAAATATTCATTAAAAAATCCACTCCTTTAATAGTCCTTGAAAAATATTCATTAAAAAATCCATTCCTTTAATAGTCCTTGAAAAATATTCTATAAAAAATCCACGCCTTGTATAGTCCTTGAAAAATATTCTGTAAAAAATCCACGCCTTGTATAGTCCTTGAAAAATATTTTTTAAACAATCCAAGCTTTTGTGTGTTAATCTCTTTAAATAATTTTAAAAAGTGCTACTCCATGAAAAAAAGCTTTCTTAAAAAAATGCACGCATCATTCTGCAGTTCGGATATTTTTAGCTCGTTTTCGCAAACACATACTGGTGAATGGTAGACAATAAATATTTACGAAAATGTTATTATCTCAGGTGGTTCAAAAATTGTGTAATGTAGGCCTCCATTAAAACAGCTGCAAGGCCAATAACACTTCACCAATATTTAACGGAATGAATGTGACGTGTATGGGTGTATTCCCTTTTCAGAACTTATTGTTTATTTTCGTTCTTTTAAATTTAGATCACGTTTTATGCAATTTTTTTTAGCCAGAGCGGCAACGTGAGTTATGACTTCAAAACTAAACCGATTCAAAAAAAAGTGGTTATTGTTTTAAAAATCAACTACTAAGACAGACAAATGAAAATTTAGTTATTTAGAACCAGGGTTCGAAGAATCATTAAAATACGCTCTTTCTCACGAATGCTCACGGCAAGAATTCGAATGTTTTCAATTTATCGCGAATGATAAAATTACAATGAATGAACAAACATTTGCAATCTCTTGCGAATGTTCGCATTGCACTAAAAATTGACGTACGATCAAATTTCGCTGCAAGCGTCGTCGATTCGTTCTTTTGCGAGCATTTTTGCTGAAGAATGTTCTTTTGAGAAACTCAAAAAAAAAGTTCGCGAATGCTCACGAACTGTTCAAAACAACAACAAACAAAAATATCATAAAAAAAGTAAGCACACACAACGAATGAACGCGTGTGTAGCAGAAAGTGTTTGGAATAACAAAACACATGTCCAACAAATATTGAGTTCACGAACGCTTGTTGTTGTTGTTGTTGTAGCAGTTTATATGAATTGTATGTTTTCTGTTATGTTTCCTCCAGTTCTGTCTCCAGATTCAGAAATGCAGCTACCTCCACTGGCTGTAACCACAGATCTTCCGGAGTGAGGTGAGTAGGTTTGGCTGGGCAATTGAACAAGTGCAGTGTGGTATGAGGGCCTGTACCACATGCTGGGCAGACATCCTGCACCTGGCCATCAATCCGCGCCCAATACGAATTGAGCCCGGAATTGACAACGCTTGTTGTTATTCTTGTTGCTGTTTTCAGCATTCGCGAGAATTCGGAAACGTTTTCTTTCATTCGTGAGAGAATGTCAGAAAGAATTTCAACCACCAAACTAAACGAACGATCGTTGCTGTGTGCTCTCACTCGTTTGTTATGTGTGTGCGAACATTCTTTGGCGAATGCTCGTTTGGTAAAGAATTTATCGTCATAAATTCATTCGTAGAATGAGCACAAAAC